GGGGGGAAACGCGTGTGGGCAGGCGTGCGTGGGCGGGAGGGGGCAAGATGGCTTTGGACGATGTGGGGGGAGGCCCGGGAAAGATGGACAGCTCTCACTTGACGCGCGAAGCAGAATGTCAAGGTGTCCCCCCCCGAGGACGGAAGCACTCCCCCAAGTGCCAGCGCTTTGCACGCCGAGGGGCGTGCAATCTGGTTCTGGGGGCATGGCGGTTCGGAGACGGCAGGCGCGGGCGTGAGGCCTGGGCACGTTCGGCCTCTTTGGGTTAAGCAGGTGATCCCGTCCGGGGACGGGAAATCATGCACTGGTGGGGAATTTTCGACGACGGGGCCCGGGGACCCCGGCTCCCAACCCTCTCCAAGATAGTGCCTGGGTCGGAGCTGTTGGCGTTGACTACCCTTGCTTGTCGTTCGTCCACGCCGTATGCTGGCCGCCCTCATCGGCCGGGGAGCACGCACAATTAACCTCGGCCTTGGGGGGGGGGGGGCGTCCGCCAGATCCCGACCGCGAGGGCATCTGGCGCGCTGTCCGGGCTGGTGTCGGGGGATTGTGTGGGGTGCGAGGTCCCCGGCAGGCGCCGTCGCACCTGGCCTGTGGGAGAGGGAGGCAGCCGCCAAGAGGGCGACCGGCTATTCCCAACTGACCATCGCTCCCTCCGGACCCCTGGAGTGGAGACTGGTGAGCTTGCAGGTGTGCCTCTCTCTCTGTCTCTCTCTGTCTGTCTGTCTGTCTGTCTGTCTGTCTGTCTGTCTGTCTGTCTCTCTCTCTCTCTCTCTCTCTCTCTCTCTCTCTCTCGCCCACTCGCCCACTCGCCCACTCGCCCTCGGGGGGCCTCGATCGAATGCAATCTTGCCCCTCGTTGGCCGCGGGGAGGGCGGTGGCCCTTTCCTTTTCTTCGGCGCCCAGGCCCCCCGTCCGCCTTGGCCTTCAGGCCTCTTTGACTGCTGCCGTCTCGGCAGGGACGGGGCATCGTTGCCGTGGCAGCCCGCCGATCCTGCTCGCCAATTAATGCGCTCTTCGGGCGCCTAGCCACTCCTCCAGGCCCGAGCCGGAGCCGAGCGATCCACATCGCCACCCGCGATGGCCGGGTGCCCCTCTCGGGTTATATTTCAGCACCACCCTCTCGATCGGTGTGCTAAAACGCCCCCCCACCCCCCTTCTACAGTCGGCTTGATCTTCCTTCTCGCCCTCCCCCTCCGCTCTCGCTCTCTCCCGCTCTCGCTCTCTCTCTCTCTCTCTCTCCCCCTCTCTCCCTACTCCCTCTTGCGCTCCCCACTTGGCTCTTGGTATTCAGGATGACGGCCTCCAAGTCCTCGCGCCCGCCAGTGGTCCTGGTCACTGGTGGCGCCGGCTACATCGGGTCCCATACTTGCCTCGCCCTCCAGGAGGCCGGCTACGACATTGTCGTCATCGATGATCTGAGCAACTCGTCCCCAGGTATGCGTCTCTCTCCCTCTCTCTGCCCCTCGCCTCTCTCCTCCCCAGGTGATTGACATCCACAAGTATAGAGTCTCTCTCGCGCGTGGAGCAGCTCACCGGCAAGAAGGTGCTGGATTTTGTCCACTCGGATGTCCGCAATGAGCAAGCCCTGGATGCTCTGTTCCAGAAGCACAAGCCCGTGGCTGTCATCCACTTTGCCGGCCTCAAGGCCGTAGGTGAGAGCGTGCGCCTGCCGCTGATGTGCGTCCTGACAGCATGCTGCTCTGCTCCCGCCGCTCTGTCCCCCTCCCTTTGGGGCCCATGTCGCGCAAGCTGCTAAACCAAGGCATGTCCCTCGGCCCATCTGCCCCGGCTATCGCCAGGTACTATGATGCCAACATCGGCTCAACGGTGGCTCTGCTCAACTGTATGATCAAGCACGAGTGCTTCAACTTTGTCTTCTCCAGCAGTGCCACCGTGTATGGCAACCCCGGCCCCGCGGGCACGCCCGGCGGGCTTCCTCTCCGGGAGTGCGCCCCCCTGGGCGCGCTCAATCCGTACGGCCAGACGAAGGTACTTTTCTCCTGCATGTCGCACGATCTTGCGCGCTCCATCGTCGTCCGGCCGCCCGTCCGTCCAGCCGACTGTCCCATATGCGTGGTTTGATGATTAATGCCCGCCCCCTCCCCTCGCCCGCCTCCCGCCTCTCACTGCCTGGCGAATCAGCTTGCGATTGAGCACATGCTTCGTGACCTGGCCTGCGCGGATGAGCGTTGGCGGATCACCCTCCTGCGCTACTTCAATCCGTGTGGCGCGCACCCAAGCGGCCGGATTGGAGAGGATCCCCAGGGTATGACCATCGCCGCGTGCCTCGGCCCCTCCCGGCGGGGTCCTTTCCTGCCGCTGTCACTTTCATCCGACGCCAGCTGACGGCCGTCCGCCTTTCTCCTCCGCCTCTGCTCGCCCCCTCCCCCATAGGCATCCCCAACAACCTGATGCCCTACGTCTCCCAGGTTGCGGTCGGCGTCCTGCCGCACATCAATGTCTTCGGCAACGACTACAGCACGCCCGATGGGACCGGCGTGCGGGACTACATCCATGTGTGTGATCTGGCGGCTGGGCATGTGTCTGCCCTGGCCTGGCTGCTGAAGGGCTGCCCGGCACCGGCGGATGCGGCCCCGGGGACGGTACTCCCGGGCTCGGCACAGGCCATCCTGAAGCAGAGTGTCGTCAAGGGCACCTGCCAGGCCATCAACCTCGGCACCGGAGTCGGGTACAGCGTATTGGAGATGATTGCCGCCATGGAGAAGGCCTGCGGGCGCAAGCTGGCCTACAAGGTGCGTGCCTCTGATAACAGCTCTCTCTCTCTCTCTCTCTCTCTCTCTCATGTCCATGGCCACTCGTGTGGTGTCACAGCCCACGGGGGCGGGGGGCACCCAGGGTCACCGGTGCACGCACGCCCATGTGTGCCCCCCCCCCCCCCCCCTTACACACTGCCTTTTATGTGCGGTGGTGACGGGCTACTCGAACTCACCCGATATTTTTCTGTGTGCAGATCACCGACCGGCGTCCTGGCGATGCGGACGCCGTGTACTCGGACGCCTCGCTGGCTCTTGCGCTGCTGGGCTGGAAGGCCGAGCTGGATCTCGAGCGCATGTGTCAGGATCTGTGGAACTGGCAGCACAACAACCCCCATGGCTACGCCGTGACGAAGGGCTCCCAGTGAAAGGGGCACATGGGGCACATGGCGCAACGGTGTGCGTGAGGTTCCATATGGGGGCACGCCAGTGACCCAAAGAGGCGGACCGGGGAGAGGCATGCATGCGGCAGCGCCCCGGAGGGGGGATGGGGCACCCACACCCACCTGGTGCTTGTACACACCGACATGTGTGCCGGCCGGCATGTGGCGAGGCGCAATGTGCATACATTTGACCGCGGCAAGCCGTTCCCCTTTTGTGGATGGTGTTGAGATGCGCTCCCGAAGTGACGAGCGGGGCGAGCAAGGGGGCGAGAGAATGGACAGATAGTTGGCAAGGGGGTGGCGCGCAGGGAGATGGCTGGATGGATTTGGTCTGTGTATATACCTCCCTCTCATGGGCAGCACCATGGGGGAGGTGTGTTGGTCATCAGGGGGTGGGTCTGGGCCACAAAAGTCCGGCCGCAGTGGTTTTGCTGTTTGCGCGTTCGCAGGCAAGTGTATGGGAGTATGCATGTGCGAAGCGGACAGGAGCCCATGCCCGGCGGTGTGTTTCCGGGGCACGACAACAGCCACGGGAGGGAGGCGGCGCACATGGTCTCGCTTAGAGCAGGGGAGTGACCTGTGACAGAGGCCAGGGGAGGGACCAGGCATTGCGTGTCAGTCCAGAGACGGGGGCGCGGGGCAAAGCTGGGAAAGGGGGGGGGGGAGGAGAGGACGCACGTGCATGGGAGGCGGGGCATTGCGGTCCCACTTGGTGCCGCCCGGGGCGGTGGGGCACTTGTAGGGGTCGGGGTGGGCATTGTTGACGAGGTACTCCTCGGCCTTCTTGATGGCGGCCTCGATCTCGTAGGCGTGCTCGAGGTGGCGGTTGGCCTGCCGGGGCGAGGGAGGAGGGGGTAGGGGGATGTGCGTGTGAGCGTGTGTGTGTGTGTGTGTGTGTGTGTGTGTGTGTGTGCGTGTGCGTGTGCGTGTGCGTGTGCGTGTGCGTGTGCGTGTCAGGTCAGGAAGAGGCCCCACTGTCATCTGCTGCGCCCCTCTTCCCTTTCGCGGCGCAGCATGGTGGGGTGGGCGCACCTCGAACTCGCTGCGGACGAGGACAGCGCGCTCGGACCACTGGAAGACGTCGCGAGCATAGTCGCTGGTGGGATAAAGGAAGGGAGAGTGTCCAGGAGGATAGAGCAGGAGGAAGGCAGTGGGGAGTAGGGTGAG